TCAGATAGACACGAATCGATAAAGAGTGCATACAACAATCCCAAAAACGGATGGCTTCAACCAACATCCTCCCATGTCTACTGCATAAGGCACATCGCTCAGAACTTCATGCGCGAGATCAAGGACAAGGCTCTACGCAAAAAACTTGTTAACATGGGTAAGAAAATAAATTTTTACATTTTTATCTCAAGTTTCGTAGCACACTTTTATCATTTTTTCACACACTTTTTCTTATAGGTTACGCATTAACAGAGGCTACATTTAATTACTATCGCAGAGAAATCAGAAAAACAAACATTGAGGCTTCGAATTGGATAGACAACATTCCTAGGGAGAAGTGGGCCAGAGCATTTGATGGAGGGCAACGTTGGGGACATATGACATCTAACTTGGCAGAGACAATAAACTCTATACTAAAGGCAACAAGAAACCTTCCCATCACTGCATTAGTCCAGTCTACGTACTATAGAATGGGTTCGCTCTTTGGTAAAAGAGGTCACAAATGGACCAAGATGTTATCTTCAGGGAAAGTGTTTACAGATGGTTGTAACAAAGGCATGGCTGAAGAGGTAGCTAAGGCTAACACACACAACGTCATGCAATTTGATCGCGAAAGATTCTGTTTCATGGTGCAGGAAAAGACTAACTATAACGACGGTCGTCCAACGGGTACTTTCCGTGTTAACTTGCGTAGTCGATTTTGTGACTGTGGAAAGTTTCAGGCATTTCACTTGCCTTGCTCTCACGTGATAGCGGCATGTTCTAGCATACGACAGGACTACACAATTCACATTCCAGAGGTCTTCAGAGTTCTAAGCGTGTTCAAGGTCTACCAGGAGAGCTTCCTGGGACTACCGCACGAGGATAACTGGCCAAAGTATGAAGGTTTTACTCTATGCCACGATGATTCCATGAGAAGAAATAAAAAAGGGCGTCCAAATAGTACTAGAATTAGAACTGAGATGGACGGCGCAGAAAAAGAGCAAAGAAGATGTGGTATTTGTAGAGAAATAGGTCATATGCGTAGAAAATGTCCCAACGTTGCCGGTCCGTCAAACCGACCAACTAGATAATTTATTGTACTACTTTTGTATGTAATCCTTCAAATATTTTTAATTCAAAACAACTTTAAAATTACAAAAAAACACGCGAACTACAAACATAAATTAGACTCGTGACTCCGCAAACACAAAAAACAAATACCAGAAGATAACATAAACTCTAACAAACAACAACGACCAACACAAAATCTAACAAACAACAGCGACCAACACAAGTGGATCTGTGACTCCTCTGTTTACTTCGCCGCTATGTGCTGAAAACATGCAATGGACATCTTCATCGTTTTCTATACGATCTAGGTAGTACATATACGTCCCCTCCGGGCTAGCATCGGTAAGCGTTATATATGGACAACGATACTCAATCTTCCTCAATGTCACGCGACGACCGTCCAGCTGCCGAAATCCGGTGTTAATTGCTGCAACCAATGTTCTGAAATTCCACAAAGGATCTAGGTTAATACTGATTTTTTCTCTGGCCCATAGAAAACAAGAGCTTCAACCGACATTTTTATGAGTAAGATAAGTGGTCACGAATGATACTTGGTGATGAGCAATACACTTATTTATAAAAAAAAATAACGTTTAAGCTCGGTCATTCAGTAACCGAGACTCTGTATTCATTATTTTTTTAATTCGTATACAATATAATTATTTAATTATTTATACTCATTTAATTTAGTTATACCAAACAATAATTTATTTATAACAAATTATTTATACTCATTTAATTCTTAATCAATGACTATTTAATAATTTATTTTTAAAAAAATAATTAACATTATTTATCTTATTATTTATACTTAAAATTTTATTATTTATTCAAATTAACATTAAAATTTTATTATTTATAAAAATTAACATTACTAATTTTATTATTTATAATTCATAAATAAATAAATAAAAATTGTATTAAAAAATAAATATACATAAAATTCAGAATTAAAAAAAATTAAAATTTTATTATTTATTAAAATTTATATTATTATTTTATTATTAATTATAATACATAAATATTAAATGTTTTAATAAATAAATCCAATAATACATAAATAAAATTTAAAATAAAAAAAAATTTAAAAAAACAACACTTTCACACGCTCGTCCTTTCAATGGACGAGCTCATACTGAGTTTTTATTTTTCCACTAGCTCGTCCTTCCAATGGGCGTGCTTGTAGTGGATCATACATGTTGGTCCAATGAATGGACGAGCTCGTAGTAAAAAGGGGTATACTGGTAAAAAAAAATCAAAGTGGGGTATTATGGTATATTTTATTTCAAAAGGGGATAGTGGGGTAAAAAAACCTAAAAAGGATGAAGAAGAGAGACCATAAATTTTGTTATTTTCAATATTTTAATCGATATAAAATAAATAAATATTTCAACTCAACTATTCAAAGTCCAACAAAATAAGATTTAATTTTTTTTCAACAAAAACTAACATAAAAGACAAAAATATGTAACATAGTAAAAGTTAATGAACCACTATATAACTTTTTTTTAAAGAATTAAAGAGAAACATTGACTAAAATAATTATGAGATCAAAAAAATATTAAACCTAAATTAAATTAAAGGAAAAAGAATACATTAGGCCTCAAATAAATTTTAATTATGAATTGTGACACTTAAACCACCCAGCAATAGACTGCTCAACAAATACAATTTGTCTAGAAAATCTACACATTAAACTATTTTGATGGATCAAATGATAGAGATTGAGTGAATGATATAATGCCGTTTTTAGTTTGACATTGACGAGTAGATATGATTCATCGAGATCATCAATATATTAAAAAACAAATACTACTATTTTTATTAATTTTTTTAATGTTTATTAAAATTTTATTATTCAATATTTTATTTTTATTTCATAAATAGTTTTAATAAATAACAGTGACAAAAATACAAGTTTTATTAAATAATATCAATAACGAAAAACAAGTTATATTAAAAAAAGGCAAAAAAAAAACAAGTAGAGAAAAAATGAGAGGAAAAAACAGTTGAAGAAGTAGTTGAGACACGCTTATTATAAACTCAAAATATCCACACATAAAGATATAGAAAATCATAATCCACATTTCAATTTCAGTGAGCTGTATAGCCAGAATGGTGCACCCAGTAGCAGAGGCAAACGATCACAGCCCTTTCGGCACCCTCACTCCGGACGAGTTCTACACTCGCCACTCAGTGACTCACTCCTCCGAGTATGTTACTAACCCTAGAGGCCTCAAACTCTTCACTCAGTGGTGGATCCCTCTCCCTCCAACTAATATCATCGGAACCCTCGCCGTTGTCCACGGATTTACCGGCGAGTCCAGCTGGCTAATCCAACTAACCGCCGTTTACTTCGCCAAGGCCGGTTTCGCCACTTGCGCCATCGACCACCAAGGCCACGGTTTCTCCGACGGTTTAATCGCTCATATCCCTGACATCAATCCCGTCGTCGATGATTGCATCACTTTCTTCGAATCCTTCCGCTCCCGCTTCGATCCCTCGCTGCCTTCCTTTCTCTACTCAGAATCTCTCGGTGGAGCTATCGCGCTTTTCATCACTCTCCGCCGTACCGGATTGCCGTGGAACGGGTTAATCCTCAACGGCGCCATGTGTGGTATCAGTGACAAGTTCAAACCCCCGTGGCCACTCGAACACTTTCTCTCCATCGCAGCAACAATCATCCCGACGTGGCGCGTGGTTCCCACGCGCGGCTCAATTCCGGACGTGTCGTTCAAGGTGGAGTGGAAGAGGAAGCTTGCGATTGCGAGTCCTAAGAGAACAGTGGCGCGTCCACGCGCCTCGACAGCGTATGAGTTGTTGAGGATCTGTCGTGAGCTGCAGGGAAGGTACGAGGAAGTGGACGTGCCGTTTCTGGTTGTGCACGGAAGGGAAGACGTCGTTTGCGATGCAGCTTGTGTGGAGGAGTTGTACGCACGCGCGGCGAGTAAAGATAAGACGCTGAAGATATACGATGGAATGTGGCACCAGTTGGTGGGAGAACCTGATGAGAGTGTGGAGTTGGTGTTTGGTGATATTTTGGAATGGCTTCGTAAACGCGCCACTGGTTAGTGCCAGTTAGATAGAGATCCAAGCTGTTAGACTTGTTTAATTATGATATGTACTTTCTAATGTAATGTAAACCATCAAATAACAACAATGTATTGTTCTCGATGCTTCCTCTATGTTTACAAATTACACGGAAGAATTGTCCTTTTAAGCCTATCTTCTAGTATTTTTTACATGGTAAATGGCAAAGCAATTATTCAATTATGCTGCCTGTGCCTCTGCCTTCTCAGCTCAATTGATTACCTGGAAATCAGATTTCCTCATATATCCCAGTTATAGAACACTGCAAAGTTAAGATCTGTGATTGTTTTGGACTTTGGTAACAATTTAAAGACTTAAAAATCAGTTTCTCAGGTACAATTAACAAAATCACAGTTCCTGATTTCTAAATTTATGTGGCCGTAAAAAAATTCTGACTTGATATTTTAATCACTATATCCAATTTTTTTATAGTTTATAATTTATTTTGGTAAATTTTCATTTTCTTGAAAATTATTAAGTTAGTTTCATGTGAAGATGATAATCACAAAAAATGTTCTAGAATATACCTTATAATCAGCGGTAATAAATAACAACAACAATAGAGGTTCTGCACATTCCAAGTTTAGTACTTTCTGGTCATAATTTGAGCAACGTCGGTAGTTTTTATCATATGTGCACTAATGAGCCCACGTGAATCAACCACCTTTTAGGACCTACATACACATTACGTGGAAGTTAAATATCCCTCACAATGCTTTTCTTTGTATTCTATATAAACAACCTTCTTCAATGCTATACCTACCAACCTTAACCATTAAAGCCACATTAAAAGAGTTTAGTGAGGTTCAGAGTTATCCTATCCTCAGAATAGACATTGTAGAATTAAGGAACCATCAATGGCTGTTTCATCTTATCAATCAATAATGTCAAGCTCTATGACCAGCATTTCTAGCAGGTCTAGAGTTAACCAATTTAACAACATCCCTTCTGTACACATGCCAGGCTTGAGAAGGAATGCTAGCCTCAAAGTCCGGTCCATGGCTGAGGTAATTATGGTTTTATGCAGCAGTTTTTGTTTATCCATATCAAATATGTTTATGATTTACTAAGAATGATTGGTTGCTAATTACTTATTACATTACTCAGGGAGGGCAGAAAGATCAACCAAAGGTGTCAGCTGACCCAATTGCACCACCATCGACACCAACACCAACACCACAACCAGCCTATACTCGTCCACCAAAGGTGTGCATACTAACATATATTTGCTATTGTTTTTCCTGTTAGATTAGATTTATAAAGCATAAATTTGGGTCTAAATTAAAATGACCCTTTTAACATGTAAAAATGATGATATTATGGCAGATGAGCACCAAATTTTCGGATTTGATGGCATTTAGTGGGCCAGCGCCAGAAAGGATCAACGGAAGATTGGCTATGATTGGTTTTGTAGCAGCAATGGGGGTGGAGATAGCAAAAGGGCAGGGTTTGTTTGAACAATTGTCAGGTGGTGGAGTTCCATGGTTCTTGGGGACAAGTGTATTGTTGTCACTTGCATCATTGATTCCATTTTCGCAAGGTGTTAGTGTTGAGTCTAAATCAAAAAGTATCATGTCCTCAGATGCAGAGTTGTGGAATGGAAGAATTGCTATGTTGGGTTTGATTGCTCTGGCATTCACAGAGTATGTTAAGGGTACATCCCTTGTGTAATAGAATTCTTCGAAGACACAATCAAAGTCTATAATAGAATGGATTTGTGGTTAGAAGCCAATCTAGGAAGAATTGATTATGTATATTCTTTTGTAGTTACTCCTTTGAGGTACTTCTCATGTACAAGCAAGAGAGTCTAATTGAACTTTCTTTATACTTAAAAACAGCTTCTCTAATTTCTTCCACTGAATAAAATTGCTCTACATTTGCTCTATAATCTTTTGATTATTTGTTGAAGGCTTATCATGTAAATATTGTGTTATATTCATCTTTATATATCATCTCTAATTGTAGTTGTGACACTATTTTGTTCCTATAGTAGCAGGGCCGTTGCTTCGTGATTGTCTGTGCAGCAAATATAGTATTCAGTAGTGTAAAAGGGCATGTCTAGGAAAAACTATCTTAAACTTGTATTTAATTGAATCTGTTAGTGTTCTATGAGCAAGTTTTTTTTTTAATTGTTTATTTAACTGAGTTTATATTTGCTGATTTTTATTTGTTCTAGAAGATAGTTTCTGGAAAATTTAAATACACGTTGGAAGAATGTTTATGGACAACTTTTTAAAGCAAAAGTAATCACATGTAAAAACACAATAAATAGAAGAAATATCAAATAAATTTTAAGTTAATAAACATGTGTTTGGAAAGAAAGATTTCATAAAGGATTCAAGCAAAATTTTCCTTTTAATAAGAAACACAAAATTTGTTGAGATATCAGATATAATTCAAGTTGTATTATGTGGCCTAAACCTAAAGCTAATTAGGGTTCAGAGTTTGTTATTTTAGTGTATATAAATAGACACAGTGTAATTCAGTTTTATTATTTAATAATATCAATCCTTGTTTTATTATTCTCTCTCTTTTCTCTCCTCACTAAAAGTGTCTCACGCACTAACAAATTGATATCTATAGCTTCAATTAGATTCTTGATCGTGTTTTTAAGAATCACACGTCAGAGATCGTATTTTTGAATAGTGAATTAGCTGCAAAGATGAATAGTAACAGAAATTTATCAAACTCCCTTCCTACTCTTGACGACAAGAATTGTCTCCGATGGAAAAAACAAATGCAATATCTATTTGCTTTTCATGAAATCCTAGAAGTGGTTACAAATGGCGTTCCTGCGCTTGGTGAAGATGCAACCAACACACAGAGAACCGTTCACAAGGAGGCCAAGAGGAAGGATTGAAAGGCGGCGTTCTACATCCAATCGGCGGTTGATGCGGCTAATTTTGACAGAATCGCTCATGCTGAATCAGAGAAGAAGGCATGGGATATTCTTGTCAAGTACTATGAAGGAGGAGAGAAAGTTCAGGTTGTCAAGTTGCAAACTTTGCGACGACAATATGAATTGTTGTCAATGGAAGAAGATGAAAAGATTGCAGGCTATGTGTCGAAGGTGCAAAAGTTCATCCATCTCATGAAGGGTTGTGGTAAAACTCTAACTGATAAGATAATAGTTGAGAATGTAATGCGTACGTTCACCTCTCACTTTGATCACATATCGTAGCTATTCAAGAATCCAACAATCTTGAAATCCTAAAAGTGGAAGATTTGGTTGGTTCGTTGGAAGCGCATGAGATTAGGATTGCCGAAAGGAAAGAAGTTCAAGACTCGATACAAGCACTACATGCTCAATCTTGGAAGAAGAATGGTGGTTTCAACAAGTTCAAAGGCAAAATCGACAAGACTCAGGGTAAGAAGTTTTGGTCGAATCTTCATAAGAATAAGATTCATGATAAAACTTTTGAATCCTCGAAAAGAGGAGAAGGAAATTTCTATCAGAAAGACAAAGTAGAGAAAAAAGTGTGCAGTGTTATAATTGTGAAAAATGGGGTCACCTGGCCAAGCATTGTTGGTACAGTAAAGACAAGGGTTCGACAAAAGACAAGAACGAAGGAGCAAACCTTGCACGTCAAGATTCAGATGATTATGGCTGCAGTTACAGATGACCATGTTGAATCCAACATCCGGTTCCTCGACTCAGGCTGCTCAAATCACATGACTGGTCGAAAAGTATGGTTAGTAGATTTTGACGAGTCAAAGAAAAGCAATGTCAAACTTGCTGATAATAGCTTGTTGCAAGCAGAAGGTACTGACAACATAGTTATTCAAATGAGTAATTGAGCAAAAGCCTTAATCAAAGATGTACTTTATGTCCCTGGAATGAAGTGTAATCTGCTAAGTGTTGTACAGTTGGTCGAAAAGGGGTTCTCGGTGGTTATGAAAGATGGAGCCTTAGAACTTTTCGACATCCAGAATAGCTTGGTCTTGAAATCTCCTTTGTCGAAGAATATAATATTTAAGACCATGATTAGTTCGACTGAGATACAATGTCTGAAAACAGTTGTCGACCACAAGATTAGTTGGTTATGACATTTGAGGTTTGGTCATCTGAACTTTAGGTCGCTAAATCAACTGAGCACTCAAGATATGGTAACTGGTATACCAAGTCTTGATATTCCCGACAAACTTTGTGAAGGTTGTCTAGTCGAAAAGCAATCCAGGAAGTCTTTCGTTTCGACTATGCCAATGAGATCATCTTACATACTCGAAGTTGTACATTCAGATGTATGTGGTCCTTTTGAAGAGCATACCACTGGTGGAAACAAGTATTTCGTCTCATTTATCGATGAGTACGGTCGAAAGCTCTAGATCTATATGATCAAACAAAAGGACGAAGTATTTGAAATTTTTAAGAGATTTAAGATACTTGTCAAAAACTAGGGTTAAAAGAAAATTAAAGTTCTGCGAACAGATGAAGGTGGCGAATACACATCCAAGATATTTGAAGCATTCTGTGCAGAACATGGTATTGATTATGAGATAACTTCTCTTTATACTGCTCAACATAATGGAATAGCCTAAAGAAGAAACATGACCATATTGGACATGGAGAGATGCATGATGAAGCAGAAGAATTTGCCAAAATCCTTATGAGGTGAAGTTGTTTTGACTACTGTTTATATTCTGAACAGGTTCCATACCAAGAAGCTAAAGAATAAGGTTCCTGAAGAAGTGTGGAGCGGCAAACGACAACAGTGAGTCATCTGAAGGTGTTTGGCTCTATTGGCTACAAACATATTTTTGATGCTAGGAGAAGGAAGCTTGATGATAAGAGTGAATCTATGATTCTGGTAGGATATTATAATACTGGAGCATATAGGTTGTTCAATACAATTAATCAGAAGATTGTAATGAGTCGAGACACTGTGATTGATCAAAATTCTTCCTGGGATTGGATTTCTAGTAATGCAATTGACAAGCCACTGATGAGCTATGATTTCGACGAAGCAAGTAATGATGTCGAAGTCGAAGACATTGTTTATACTTAAGTCGAAGAAAAATCTGAAGCAGTTGCTGACACTCTCGACACAGTTGAAGTCGAAAAGGATATGGTTGGCCCAAGTCAGAGACCTCAACGAACTAGAGCTTATCCAGCAATACTTCAAGAGTATGAAGTGGTCAGTGATGATGAAGTCACAATAGATGGGGAACTAGTTCATTTTTCTTTACTTGTAGGTGCTGAACCAATCAACTATAGCAAAGCCTTCAAAGATAAACATTGGAAGTCTTCCATGGTTGAAAAGTTACAAGCAGTTGAAAGAAATAACAGATGGGAGTTGGTCGAATTGCCAACTCATACAAAAGTTATCGAAGTAAAGTGAGTGTTCAAGTTGAAGCACAATGTTGATGGGTCAATAGCAAGACATAAGGCAAAATTATTCGCTCGAGGTTTTCTCCAGAGAGCAAGACTCAACTACTTTGAAGTATTTGCACCTTTCGCAAGATTGGAAACTGTTCGACTAGTGGTGGCCTTGGCATGCAAGCAAGGCTGGTCAACATTTCACTTAGATGTGAAATTGGTATTTTTGAATGGACCTTTAGATGAAAAGGTGTATGTCACACAACCTCTTGGTTTTTTTATTTAGGAGGAAGCAAGTAAAGTATACAAGTTGTACAAAGCGCTCTATGGTCTCAAGCAGGCACCTAGGGCATGGAATAAGAAGATCAACTCATACTTGGTTGAATTAGGATTCATAAAATGCAAATCTGAATATGGTGCCTATGCTTAGGTTGTGGCACAAGATATAACATAATCTTCTTATATGTCGATGACTTTCTAGTAACTAGAAATAGCTTGAAGAACTTGTCAAAGTTCAAAGAGTTGATGAAGAAGGAATTTGAAATCTCAGATCTGGGAAAGTTGTAATACTACCTAGGCATGGAATTTCAAATGTAGAAGCAAGGCATGATGCTATATCAAAGAAAGTATGTCAAAGACATACTCAAGAGATTCGTAATGGATGATTCGACTCCTGCATCTTCGTCTATCGAACCAAATTTAAAGTTGGAGAAGTATGGAGAGGAAGACAAAGTAGATGCAACCTTGTTCAAACAGATTGTCGGATCTCTAAGATATGTGTGCAACAATCGACCTGATATATGTTTCTCAGTCGAATTAGTAAGGAAATACATGAGTGAACCAAGGGTGTCACACATGAAGGCTGCAAGAAAAATCTTGAGATACTTAAAAATATCGACAAACTATAGAATTTTATTTCGACAAGACTTTGAAAGCAAAAAAAAAGCTATTGTTACTTGTTATTCAGATGATGACTGGTGCGGAGATAAGGAAGACCAAAGAAGCACTACTGAATATTTCTTTCAAGTACTTGGTGCCCCAATTTCATGGTGCTCGATAAAGCAACATGTGGTGGCATTGTCATCGTGTGAGGATGAATATATAGCAGGATCATATGCTGCATGTCAAGAAATTTAGATTAGATCTATGCTTGAAGAAATGGAGGTCGAAGTGAAGAAACCTCTGGTACTACAGATCGACAACAAGTCAACCATAAATTTGGCGAAGAATCCAGTTTTTTCATGGAAGAAGCAAGCACATCAAAGCTAGATTTCACTTCTTAAGGGAGAAGGTGAATAGAGGTGAACTTGAAGTAAGGCATTGCTCAAGTGAAGCACAATTGGCTGACATTTTC